AAACGATTGGTAACTTTAAAGTTATAGTTTAACAGATCATGCAAGTTACGAACTCACCTGTTTCTTCCTTCGCCGAAATCATCTTATTTTTGATTTCAGAAGTGCAACTTCCAAGGGCTTTCCTTGCATCGAAAGCCATTTCAGATATAAGTAAAACTTTAGTGTATTTTGTTTGGCTTCACTAAAACCGGCAATATTTGTTGGGGATTCTGTGTAACATATACGTGGCCTGTCCTGTGGGAAATAACTTGCTCCTGCGATAGAACAATATAACGTTATTATGAAGAATAAGAAATACAGTACGATTGGGCATTGTGAAAATGCGACATGGTTTCAGCGCCGTTACATCTAAAACTTAATTCGGCGAACAATAATGTATGGAGTGCTATCCATTTGCTTAATAAAGCAAAATCAGACTGCTGTTGGCAGTCGTGGAACAGTTTTACTTCTATACTAACAATCCTGAAAAGTATTGGCTGTTAGCTATCCGCATTATTGGTCGGCTTCATGAGAAACTTTTAGGCAAAAAGATGGACTACCTGTGATCTGCTGTGACTTAGGAAAATATATTGGTCAAATCTGCTGACGCATTTACGGACTCACGATTTCTGAATTAACGTGTGGCTGTAGCCACAACTCGATTATATCGTTAGACCTGTCAGAGTGAACGCTGACTTTATTGAAATGAAGAGATATTTGAGAAGAAAATTCAGAATCGTTGCTGGTAGAGGCCAACTGAACAAGGCCTTTAGTTCCTTCCATATTATCCCATCGGTTGGATGTTTCATTCTGAGTCGATTGTGACATTATCGCGCGATCGTCTGGTGAAACACTTCGCCTGAATAAATTTTAGATGTGCAGCTACTTCTAGAATGTGCCAAAAGACCACACCTTTCAGCACACTTTTCTTATTTAGGCTGCTTCATAACGCCGATTCATTTTGGTTAAGGGCAAGAGAAAGTAGAGGTACTTTTGTTGGTTGTATGAGCGCAAAACTTGGGAACTGTAGCAGAATGTAATTACATATTAGATCTGTTTTCTGATCATAGATATTTCATTGTAAATCGAACAAACAAATTTGATGTGGAACGTTTTGCGATAACCTAGTACTCCAGTATAGAAATATTATCCGCAGTACTAAAATAGGTGGCCCAATTGTGGTGTTTAACAGGCGGGATCTGGAGACTTATTTACGATGTTGAGATGCATCAGGTATAGTACTTTTCAAGGCAGCGAATTCATATCAGTAGGAGGGACAATCTCTAAAATGATAGGCTATCAAATGTCAGAAGTTGCAGATGGTAAGGAATATGGTAGATATTTCGAATGAAGAAAGCATCCAGAAGTTGCATTCATCCCGGTTACTTGCAGTGAAATCTAAAGCACACATTTCAACTGTATAGGGCTCGTTGGCTAATGTACCTCCAGTTTCCGGTGAAACTCGAACCTAATAGCCGTTGCTTCATGTGCCAAAGCGTTATCCACTAGGCCACTGGAGTACTAGAACCAGCACTTGTGCAATGTGTATCAGTTGTTGTTGTTTGGTGCTTTCAAGTTCTCGCCGCTATCCTGGGTTGAACCGTCGACGTCCATTACTCGATACTTGAGTATTCAAGCAATATCGAGATGTCCGTACAGGGGGTCGGTGAGCTAACTGAGGTCGAGCAGTTTGATCATGTGTAGCAGCGACAAACTACGAGTATCAAGCAACAACAAAGTATCCAGAAGTTGATGCTAATAATATGGTGGAAGAAGTTCGAACAAAATCTCTTAACCTGGTGAATAATCGATTCCTGTAGAAGACATTACTGAAAATTTTCAGGCAAACGTTTGGGGACGTTCAATGAGGATGAAGCTCCTTGCAGGGAGACAAATGAAGTGAGAACGAGACTCGGTGGTTCATCACTGTTCAGACAGACACGTGGCACGGGTTTGACCTGTCTGCTTCAGTTGTACGAAGTGCCTACAAGTATAATCTCTCAACAGTGGAGGTTTTCTGGCCATAATGAGTCACGTAATCTATAAGAGTATGTTGAATGTTGAGAACAAATGAATCTGAAGATATGTCAGCATTCGATAGATTTGCATTGTTTACGGACAGCGAGCGAAACTGGAGTTAAATACTGGGATGGACGGCGGGAGGAGGTTTGAGTCTGGTAATGTATGCATGTCGTGCAGAGTGTAGCAAGTGATGACAGTTTAGATAAAACCTGTATTCATGGAACGGTTGCCATGGTCTTCTCCCGCTCACATGTTGTTGGTCCCGAAAAGGACAGAGGAGCCAGTCTCAGAAAAGCACGACATTCCATCACACGTGCAGAATCGATGCAGATTTCTCTAGCAAGTGGACCAGGTTTACTTTATTATTTCCTACAACCACAGTGAACTGCAATTACATTTTAGCCTGTTTATTGTGAATGTCATGTAGAGAAAAGGTATCATTTACTGCGTAAATTTTCAGACATCTTTATTTTTCAGATTCATACCATTATCCGAATGAATATGGACAATAAATTATGCCCGAAACTTTTTCCTGTCAACGATACGGTTTCACGATGTAACATTTCTAATAAACAGACTATAACGGAATTACAATACATCGCAGAGGCCACTATAGCATCCTTGTTTACTGCAACTCTGTCCCGCGCTCAAGAGATTTAGGCTAATTCTTATATCACGTCATCGCTTTATCGTGCATTATGGGGTCCTCATTTTCCAAACGAGTTCTAACGGTAAATAATTCCAGATTGAGAGTGGTCAGTGCAAATTAGTTTTTACATTAGACTCACTCAAGCCAAGTGAAGATTTTTGGCGTCAAATCGCAGTGCTAGCTATCTTTGCTGAATGACGTCACCCAGATTCATAAAAATGGTTTGGTTAAGAAGCTACTCAGTTGATGAGTTTATTAATGAAGTCTTAGATTTGCCTAAGGGATCTCAAAAGGTGAAAGCGATGTCGAATTATATCTGGCACTGTACTTACATCACACATTATCCTGCGGGAAGGATTTGGGTTTTATAGTCAAGAAGAGGTTATCTTATATCCACCTGTTAAACAGTCTTCATTCTACCGATAGGGTTACTTAGGGGAGTGGTGTCTAACATGACTACACGTTTACCCTCGCATCCCTTGCAACCACATAATGGCAGCCTCTCATTTCCAGGACTATCAACTGGTTTCACTCTTTTTAGTCGAAGTTTATTCCCCACTAAACATCAAAAGTGTATATAGCCTCAGATTTCCGGTATAGTCTGCCATGAATAGGGAAATGGTGAAAGCAACAACTCATGTAATTTTCGGACTGCTGGAAGCAGGGTAGAAACTTAGGTTGACCCTTAATCTCCCCGAATTTTAAATCAAGATCCAGCGAATGAGGTACAACACCGTTTTACAGAGGATGTTGTCAACCGGTAGTGTCTGCATAACAACAAACATTTGGGATGAGTAACTATAAAACAGGTATTTTGGTTCAAAATAAATATATACCAGAAACATGTAACTTCCTCCTGAAAATATTGCAGTGCCGTCTCATTATATGCATCTAGTAGTTGTAGTTCACCTGTCCCTCACGAACACCCCAAATATAAGTGGAGTTTGACTTCGTCGCTACGCTTGAGCAGACCCTACAGCGGTTGGTTACATGTGCGCAGTCCTGACACTTGTCTAGTTTCCAGTGTAGTAGCACTCATTTTCGTCGGCTAGTGCCACTGTCCACATCCTTCTCTTAGTCGGTAAAGTGAAAATAGAAACAAGGATACCCCTTTACAATGGGTTGTTGGTCGGCCGTAACACGACACTTTCTCAGTGTGATATTGCTGAACGAATAGCTTCTACCAAGTGGTGTGTTGTTCCAAACATTCGTATGGTCTTAATTTTTATTATTTCTATGATTAGAGTTTCCTTATAGATTCGGGCCAAAAGGTTGTATACAGGTGCGAAGCTATGACCCGGTCCCCGAACCATTTTGTGAGTCATGTGAAGTTGATTTAACCTTATGTTAGTGAAAACGACAATTCTAATGTGCGCTTACCCCTAAGAACCTATCACATCATACCAATGTCGAGCCAACAAAGCCATAGTATTCTCCACATACCTATGTTAAATAAAATAAGCAGGGTATTTCCTGAGGAACAACTTTGATGACAACCAACAGATGTCGAATGCCATGTTTCATATTCATACTACTTTTGCACCCGATATTCCACTCATAATGGTCATAGTGACTGATTTTCCCATACATTCTAGCAGAACGCGGAACCGTTTTCAAACACGAGGCGATCGGCCGCAAAATGCGAAGATTAGGCCACAAAACCCAAGGTCATGAAATATTTTATCCTCCGAGGTTTACTACTTAGTATTTATCAGTAGCCTAAACTTTCAACTGCGTAAATTCTCGACTTCAGCTAATGAACTGGCAGGTGGAGAAGACATTATTTCAGCCTGGCCTAAAGAAGCCTAGATTTTATCATCTCTTAAACAGTATTGTACTCCAAAATACATTTTCTTCGGTTTATCTTCCAGATGTAAGCGTTATTTGCGGCTAGGTAGGCTCGTTCGGAATGAAAATTTCGATGGCCACCAAAACGCATGAAGAACTTAGCACTGAACCGCGAGTCGGAGGTCCAACATATGCTCCAAAACGTTTGGGACTCCTGATTGGTCCCCATTATCGTTACATAGTTACAATGTGATCTGCATTAGTTCACAAGTGAGTGGACGAAGTACGACCTCGAATGATACAAGAGCGATAACTGTGAAAAAATAGGCGCTAGTTCGCAAACAAGTTCAGATATCAACGAAGCTGTGTAAAATATACTGTATTATCTAACTTAAGACCAACTAATCCCTGCTGATAATCTAAACGACTCTACTTTGAGCCGAGACAAGTTCTTAGACAATGTATAAGCAATCTAGACCTACAGTGGACGTTTTTCTCTGCAGTTCCGATTTTGATGTTTACACGGAACTACATAATCAGAATCCCAGTGAAAAGAAAGTCACAGATGAACGGAACAAGCCAATTTATCATCACCATCATCATCGAAATTAATAGATTTTTAAGAGAATACAAATAAAAAAGACAAAAATGAAGCAAATGAATTAGTGCGTATAACTTAATTCTCATATGAATTGGCGCCTAAATTGCAAATCTATACACACGCACACACATATCAAGATGAAACTGGATTCACCTTCTGCACGGTCGTCGGACATCTGTATAACCTTTATCATTCATAAATATGCAAACTGTACTAAGCAAAAAAAAACAACACAGAAACCTGGGAGTTAACCAACACATACACATACAGGTGTATACACATAAGTTTTTGTTCTATGGTTACAAAACTTTAAAATTACCCCGTTTTTTTTCAGAATCGAAAGAAAGAATTGTACTAAAGCACAAATAAAATACAAATTGATCAAATCGAAGTGAATAGGCGAGATCATAAAGCATAAAACGAAATGTGAAATAGAACTAATCTTCAACCCATCCTCTTCGCCCTGTCAACACACACACACACACACACACACACACCAAGAATCATTCTCATACGATAAAAACACACCGATTAAGCAGACTGAAGGTAACTAAATGTATATGCAAAACAACAATCGAAAATTGTTCAACAAAACATTATCCAATGAAGTAAATATTTAAATTACAAGAAAAATTATCAATATACAAATTAAAGTTATTCAATTACACAGTTTATAGAGATGACCAATTGTAATAATTAAAAAAGGAAGAAAAACAAAGGCAAAGAGAATGAAAAAAGCAAACTTTCTATGCATATCCATCAGTTTATTTGGCCAATAATCCACATATTTACAATATATATGTATAAGTATATGGGAAAAGGATAATATTTAACTATTGAACATTGAATATTGAACTGAATTGATACCGCGCATTTTGAACAGGTCATATTAACGTACAACTGAATGTATTTGCTGATTTTGGTGTTGTTGTTGTTGTTTAAATTGACTAAAATTTGTTGTATTCACACGTGGATGCCAAATAAATTTATGACCACTATGAACACGCATTTTAATACTTGCACCTTCAGCAACATGTAATGCTTCAATAACAGTTTGCATTAAATTTTGAGCATTACCAACTAAAGATTCTGTATTCTCTTGATCTTCTGTAGAGCCTAAGAATAACCATTAAGAAATAGTATATAAGAAGGATGTAAGATGACTATATAGTGATTATTCATCATTATTCTGGTAGTAAATATAAAAGTATTCGATTAAGCAATAAGTAAATACTGCATGCAAAGTATCTATATTTATAGCATACTTCAATTGAGCAGGTTTACTATCCAAATTGCTGTTACACCCCTCATATTTATTATTTGTCCCTTGGGTTCCTCCATGTCACCCTCGCCGCGGACGCCTAACTCGTCGCTTCGCATCAGCGTTCCACTAGAGGGCCTAGCCTGGCAAATGATGTCTCCAGTCGGCTTTCTCAGTGTATGCCCAATCCATATAGGCTTTCTTCTACATATTTGTTCAGCGAACCAAGAACCTATCGCTCAATAAATATGCACTGGAAGGAAGTGAAGATGAATTGGGCATAAACTGAGAAGGCCGACTAGGGACATCATGCACCAGGCCAGGCACTCGAGTGTAACTTCCATGGGAAGCGACGAGATCGTGCGGGGAAGAAGTGATAGCTTGTGGGCTGTTGCGTAGCCAGGTTCAAAAGATTTCAGAGAACAGAGAGCATTGGAGACGTGCTACTGAAGCCGTATGTTCCATTAGGAACCCAGGGACAAATAATAATAATAATGATAAGATTAAGAGATGGGTTCGAATATATATAATCAATTGGATGAAATTGGGACACGAAACACGGTGTAAGAATCAAACCCCCAATAAACCATGTGGAGGATAGTATCATCTTTACAAACCAAAGCAATGGATATTTCTAACACTAGTTTCAAGTTGAATATTTACGAGTTTATATCTCCTTAAATGGACCGAATCCATTCTACCACTATACGCGAACGACTTGATCCAATTGGCATTGGTTCAAAGTTCAGGTCTTGCCTTAGAGAGGTGGTAAGTACAAAAGAATGACGAAGCGCAGATACTGGTTTCCACTATTAACGTCACCATTCATCATTAACATCATAGCTTGATAACTGTTGAAAACTGATAAATACCAAAAACTTCAAGAATTATGTAATCAGTAGCACAGGATACGGTCAAGGTAATCAGAGTATGAAGTGATTTTTTTCTTGTGTTACAGCTTCACAAGAATACCAAAAGATATACCATAGAAGAGAATATGACAACACACTCAATGGACAAAAGAAAGTCCCCCCACACTGACTACCTCTTCGCTGCTTTCGATCCATCGAAGAGATATTACGACAGCCGTTGAGATAAAATACATGTTCAAGCTACCGAAATCGATGTTCCAAGATGACTATATATACACACACACACTAAATGAACAACGATCTTCATCTGGCACAAACACAAACTATTTCACCTCAAAATCGCTTACATGATAATTCCATCAGATATAAGTCGCTGTACGGAGCCAACAGTGACCGAACACTCTCAATGTGTAGGGGATCGGGGTTTATGGAGACATCGAGGAGAACTACTTGTATCAATACGTTGTATATACAACCCGTTCAGAGTAAAGTGAACTTCATACCGGTGCCAAAAGTGACTTAGATTAGCTTTCCTTATACGACTGAAAATTTCATCGATCGCACGTTCATCAACATTTATACAAACTTTTCGACAGATTCAGATAGTCTAATACCAAAGGTAAGTGGAATTAAAGGCTTCTAAAAATCTTCTACAAGTACTTCAACGATGTACAAAAAACATACCATGCACTTATGGAAATTGATAACCAACTAATTTAAATGATATTTGAGTAACTAGATATTCAAAGGTTGAAAAATCTTTCACCTAACAACACGATTATCACCTTTACTGTTGTCTTGAGAATCTGCATGCTGTAGATGAAATTTTACTAGGCAAGCGAAGGGAATAAATATTTCAAGAGAATAAATAAACCATGCAAGAATATGAATGAAAACTTTATTGATCGTAGAGAGAGAGAGAGAGAGATGACCTACTTTTCTGACAATTGGTGATGAGCATCACTTCCAACTTGCAATAAAACGTTTTAGAAATCCATGGCAAAACAAGTCACCAATGCGTAATGAAGGCGTAGGTGGGTTCGTGACGATCTACTGACTTCGGGATACTTCTCATGATCAACTAACACTAATTCATGATGGAAACTTTAAAAAGAAGAACTTTTTCCAGACTTCAAGTTGGTATTCATCAACTGGATTGGAATCAGACAGTCCATATTACCTAATTAATGATATAGCGCAACCTCCATCTAATGCCATCGTTGAATAACTGTCCTTACGTTCGACTCAGTTGACCCCATGTAGTTTCTGGGTTCGACCCCTTGTGGGATCATTGGTGCTTACTACTGAGGAGTTCTGCACCAGGACGAAACAGCTGTTCTCCACTGCTCCCAAGTTTCTAACGATTCCCCAACTGATGTCACAGACCATAATGAATACTAACTTAGAGTCAATAAATAAATTTCTCCCAAAAACTTTCGACGTGAATTTTACTCCGTTTCCATGTAATTATTGGGTAAACATTTACAGTTCAGTTACTAGTTTCATACTTTCTTCCTCATTGATAACCTTCTACTCACCTTTAGGAATTTGTTAATTATTGAAGTTAACTGCGGTTTACTTAGTCCCCCCCCCCAAATAAATATCTCCATATTACTTGTGTAACTTTCATTTTTGGTTTCAGTATTATTTTCCTGATCAAAACCTATTAAGAACTACTGATTGATTGACCCGAAGCAGCAAAAAATAGAAACCAAGTTAAATTAGCCTTTTGCTTCATATTCTGATTTGTGGCTATATATGGACATAATAACCTGATTGGTCGATTCAGTAGCCAATAAGATCGCGCTATTCTACCATTGGTCCAGGCCTTTTTTGATATATATATATATATATATATATATACGCTAAAGTTTATGAAATACAGTTATCGTCCTCCTTAAGTCATAGGTTAGCCTTCGTCTTCTGATATTTGTATGATTCAGTGAAGAATAAGGTAGTGAAATGAGAAATAGTTATATTGATGTACAGTTTCTAGTGTATCCTTGGGTTCAGTATCATTAGTACCTACGTGTCGGCCACTTTATTGACAAATCAAATTTTCAATTTCTTTTTTATTGCCAATAAATTTAAATACTAATTAATTATTGAGATAAGATTAAACTATTTCTAAGGATGATATGAGTAAGGAGGAATTTCAAAATGAAAATTAACTCCTTATACAATTACTTCTACTATTTCATAATGATAGAAATTGAGGTTACATTCGATAGCAGATTCTTTATATCTCATGAATCCACCTCTACAATGCAGGTTCTTCGAAGGGCTATATTAGAATTATTTACTTGATTTATAACACACATTGAGTGATACAGTATATAACCTATTCACTTGATGACAACGTTTCAAGCATCACTTATCATTTACTCATAAACATATCACTGGGTAATCACAATACTTTAGAAGTTTGCTTTTTCATTTTATAGTCCTGTCACCTATCTCATAGTTTTTGTTTGTATTGGCAGTAAAAATTTCCATATCTCTGGTATAGGTGTTGCATGATTTCAATTACATGTGCTGGTTGGGTGTTGATTCGATTCAGTAGTCAATTCTCTCTCTCTCTCTTCATCTAATTACATCAGACTCAACTTGGTAACTTTACTCCATCCACCGTATTATGTGTGTTAATGCATGCATTGCAGTAGCTGAGTTCTACTTTTCTAGTTTACTGATCTTTTCGGGGTCTGTCATTCTATATTTAGTGAGATTCCTATGTTGCCCCAAATTCTAACTGACCCCAGTACATAAATTTCCTTAGCTTTATGACCATTAAATATACTATCATTATTTATCCCTTGGGTTCCTAGTAGAACATATGGCTTCATTAACATGTCGCCATTTCACTATCTTCTCTCCAGTCTTCTCAACCTGGCTTCATGACTGCACATAACCTTTCATTTATTTCTCACACTATCTCCTCCATGTCACCCTACCAGGCCCAACATGTCGTTTCCCTTTTGGGATCCACACGACGGTCTGGCCTGACACGTGATGTCCCTAAACTGTCTTCTCAGTGTATGTCCAATCCAATCCATCTCCAATTTCTCCCCCTGCATATTTGTTGGGTGATAGCTTCTCGCTTCGTTAGTTCGTCGGCAACCAGAGTGATTTCCTTGTTGCTAATTCTTTCTGGCCATCTCATCCATCTTCAGCATCGAGTATAGGCAGCTATTGATGTATGATGTCTGCAGTTTGTTGGGAATGCTTTTCGTAACATGCCAACTCTCTCAACCATCGCATAGAAGCAGTGACGTAGTTGAATGGATTAGTGTTGAAGATGCGGATGTTGTTCTACATGCTGAGTGGAGTGGAATGGATCTCTACACTGATTTCAGGTAAATGAAGTGAGGGCTTTGACATCCCCATCTGCGTCGCCGCCGCATATAGTTGAAAGGATGTTTCTTAGGCAGGTAGGTAGGTGAAAGAGACAACTTTGTTTAGATTTCTTCTATTGATGGTGATTGGTGCTCGTTGTTGTTGGTTGGGTATCTTCATCACCACTGTCTTCTCTACTTTCATCTGGAGGAGGTCCCATCTTCGCTGGCTCTTCTGTCAACTGGTTTGTTTTTGCCTGCAAATCTTCCAGTTTTTGCAACATTAGACATAAATCATTGATATAAAAGAAGTGTAATAAAATGTCTTGCAAACAGAGCCAGTAGGATCTGCTCTAATGACTTGACACAAAACAAGTTAAAACACGTCCATTATATGCTGCTAGAAATAGCTTACCTACATAGTTTTATCATGAGAAACATGAACAAAATAAGTAGGAAATCTGATCAAATGGTTGTCGAAAAGAAATCAATACTCATGAAGCTCCAATTCAAAGGGGATATACCTAGTGAAGTCCTATTACACGGGCTGTCTACAGCCATGCTGCTAACGTCTGCTTATCATTTTCCAGTCGATCGATAATTGTTGTTCAGATAAAAGACAAGCTACCTAGTTCTCCCACTTTTCCAATG